ATTTAGCAATACCGCTTTAACTTTCAAATATAAATAAACTTTTTTGAGGTCTGGAGCTGGCATGTCACTAACTACTAGTAGTCCTTTGTTAATTCGTGTTGATCATTGTCATTTTGCTTAGTTACTTCATTTACCTATTCTGACATTGGACTTGGACTTCTTTAAGCTGAGTTTTACTGTGCGTATTGCTGTGTGTTTGTTTATTCCGCATTGGCTAGCGGTATAGGCGGAAGGTTGATATCTTACAAAACATTTAAAACCTTGTCGCATTTTTGCACCTGTCCCTAGTCAGGAACCTCTGGCGTTTAGGGAGGCATCCATTTCCCTGAACTAGTATACATTATTGTTGAGGGGCCAGCTAAAGACCGCCTCGGGTGTGGATTGTCTCGCTGCGTTGAAGACCCATTGGTGATCCTGGGCTGTTTTCTGCTCCCTGGTCAGGTTTTTCTCTTTGACTCATTCCCCGTTTCCATTCTCTATTTTATTAATTGGAGAAAGACAAAAGTTTAATATTTACATGTGTCTCTTTATTTTGGCACTTCCACATCAAGGGTCCGATATAGTAGTTAAACATCGGTTATAACATGTTCATTGTATATACGTGTTTTTTTTTTTTTTGCCTTCAGATAAATCTAATTTATTGGAATTAACTCAAAATTTGATTAACATACTCTACAGGGTGCACCATTTTTGCCAACCTCAAGAGAATGTCACGTGCACCCGATGACACCCCCCCCCCCTAAATCGCCTCAGCTAAACCCCTTGCTAAAAGATTTGTATCCGTTTGGCTGTGTAGGGTGTAGAAATACGCAGTCCACGTCCGGTTAGAAGTTGGGGAATGTATAAGAATATTATTAAAAAAACGTTTGAGGGCTCCGTATTATATTGTTAGTTTGCTGTCGTCCTAAATATGCATGTAATACTTGCCATTTGACAATAGACAAATAATTAATACTTTAATTCATATATATATATCCGATAGTGCTAAACAGGTCCAGTATTACAATAGGGATTACAGTCACGTGACTCGTGTGAATGAGGAAGTGAATAATTCAATATGTGTTTTATCAATTCTTTTTCGTTCCGATAGCACTGCTTTCTCATCTGTGCACGTTTGTGAAAAAAAAAAAATGTTTTAATAGGAATGGGTAGTCGACTCCATTCACCATATTCATAAGTAACTGTCCTTCATTGACGATTTTTATGCAAGACAAAGCGATCCTACATTTCGTAGTCGATACCCATGTTACATTTTCAGGGAAAACTATATTTAACAGAGAGAAAAATCGTAAGATTTAAAATTTATGAGCCAAATATGTTCTACTAACACGGAAAATGACACAAATTCTGATATTTTATTTATAACATACTTAAACGTATATTCAAATTACAAAAAGTTCAAAAGAAACAATAAACAATTCACAAATCACTTTCATCAAACTCACTTATTCTTACTCAGACGTACACGACTTACAAACATGTTGAACTCAGTCGCACACAATTTACAGATATGTTGAACCCAGACGCACAAGACTGAACACACATGGTGAACTACTCAGACGCACATGTTTTCCACACATGTTGAACTCAGACGCATACTTTTTCCACACATGTTGAACTCAGTCATACAAAATAATAATAAATAAAAGACGATTATGAATACAAACATGTCAAACGAAAAAAATATTTATGTATGTAAGTGTTTTTTTTTAACATATGTCATGATTAGATATAACGAACAAAATATCAAAAAGAAGTTGTTGAACTATCGAGAAAACCTGTTTGAAGATTTAACATACCAAAACACCAATTCAAATAGCTTTAAATTAACATCATCAGGCAAATCGGTACTACCTTACATATAAATTTTGCTCAGGTAGTTAAAATATGAAATGCTGTTGGATTAAAATTAGACAATCATTCATTCTAGACTCAAAATTATATAGTTCACTAAATAACCTGATTGATTGGTAGTTTCTTTAACGCCCAGTGACTGATATCTTATGCATATTCAGGACGAGAAAAATTAACAATAAATCCAATGCATTCGTAATAAGAAGGTAGAACGGTATCAAACGGTAGTATAGTTGAAGTGTAAGTAGTTAGAATGGTATCAAACGGTTGTATAATTGGAGTGTAAGTAGGTAGAACGGTATCAAACGGTGGTATAATTGGAGTGTTAGTAGGTAGAACGGTATCAAACTGTGGTATAATTGGAGTGTTAGTAGGTAGAATGGTATCAAACGATGTGTATAATTGAAGTGTAAGAAGGTGGAACGGTATCAAACGATGTCAAACGATGTGTATAATTGAAGTGTAAGAAGGTAGAACGGTATCAAACGGTGGTATAATTGGAGTGTTAGCAGATAGAACGGTATCAAACGGTGGTATAATTGGAGTGTTAGCAGATAGAACGGTATCAAACGGTACTATAATTGAAGTGTAAGTAGGTAGAAAGTTATCAAACGGTGGTATAATTGGAGTATTAGTAGGTAGAACGGTATCAAACGATGTGTATAATTGGAGTGTTAGTAGGTAGAACGGTATCAAACGGTGTGTATAATTGAAGTGTAAGAAGGTAGAACGGTATCAAACGGTTGTATAATTGGAGTGTTAGCAGGTAGAACGGTATCAAACGGTACTATAATTGAAGTGTAAGTAGGTAGAAAGGTATCAAACGGTGGTATAATTGGAGTGTTAGTAGGTAGAACGGTATCAAACGTTGTGTATAATTGAAGTGTAAGAAGGTAGAACGGTATCAAACGATGTGTATAATTGAAGTGTAAGTAGGTAGAAAGGTATCAAACGGTGGTATAATTGGAGTGTTAGTAGGAAGAACGGTATCAAACGATGTGTATAATTGAAGTGTAAGTAGGTAGAAAGGTATCAAACGGTGGTATAATTGGAGTATTAGTAGGTAGAACGGTATCAAACTATGTGTATAATTGGAGTGTTAGTAGGTAGAACCGTATCAAACGGTGTGTATAATTGAAATGTAAGAAAGTAGAACGGTACCAAACGGTTGTATAATTGGAGTATTAGTAGGTAGAAAGGAATCATACGGTGTGTATAATTAGAGTGTTAGTGGGTAAAACGGTATCAAACGGAGTGTATAATTGGAGTGTAAGTAGGTAGAACGGTATCAAACGGTGGTATAATTGGAGTGCAAGTAGGTAGAACGAATAGGAATAATACGAATACGAATATGAATAATAGGAATACGAATAATACGAATACGAAAGCTTTATTTTGTTTCACATATAACAGTACAAACATAAGCTCTCGAGAGCTTTTAACCGATTATAAATAACATATACATAACATTAAAACACAGAAAATGCAGACTAGATGTATAAGCAGCAATTATTTCAATGCATAGATACAGCACATGCATATTGAAATACATGAAAAGCACTACCAAACTACACATCTAAACATGACAAAACTGAAGCTTAACTAAAATTGAAGCACAACTTAAATTTAAGCACCACTAAAAATTAAGCAAAAAATAATTTTAAGCACAAATAAAAAACTAACAAACGATGTGTATAATTGGAGTGTAAGTAGATAGAACGATATCAAACGGTGTGTATAATTAGAGTGTAAGTAGGTAGGACGGTATCAAACGTTCGTATGATTGGAGTGTAAGTAGGTAGAACGGGGTATCAAACGGTGTGTATAATTGGAGTGTAAGCAGGTAGAACGGTATCAAACGGTTGTATAATTGGAGTTTTAGTAGGTAGAACGGTATCAAACGGTGTGTATGATTGGAGTGTAAGCAGGTAGAACGGTATTAAACGGTTGTATAATTGAAGTTTTAGTAGGTAGAACGGTATCAAATGGTAGTGTAATTGGAGTGTAAGAAGGTAGAACGGTATCAAATGGTTGTATAATTGGAGTGTAAGTAGGTAGAACGGTATCAAACGGTGTGTACAATTGGAGTGTAAGTAGGTAGAACGGTATCAAACTGTGGTATAATTGGAGTGTTAGTAGGTAGAACGGTATCAAATGGTGTGTATAATAAGAGTGTAATTTGAACAAATCGTTACGTTAGTACAAGGCATAGATTATGCCTTACAATAACAAATTTGAACAAAGACTAATATCGCAATGGAAGCTATTATAGCACCCATTTTCTCAAAAATTAGACTAATGCTAAATGAACAAGATACAAAAACAAAACAAAAACAAAAACAAAAACAACAAGGCAAAAATGGCCACCTATACCTCAATCATATATGCTCCAATTTTGAATTAAATTCCTAAAGTAGCCCAACACACAATTATGAACTTTCGATTTAAAACGGTCTGATTATTAACCGACGACTTCTTTTGTACAAATGAGCAACACAATGCACTTTAATTCTTACTTGCTATTTTGTAAATATTGATATTTTGCATGCTTTTTTGTCCTATTATGGACCCCCTGATTCTGAAACGGCCTCGTCTATTTAGTTATGTCCGATTTACTTTTTGGTAAAAGGTTATAATAGAATATTTGGGTAGTATCGAGGGTATCATAAGTAAACAAAAGAGATCTTTTTATGAGATGAGATCGCTTCAGGTGTAATACCACCAAAACATAGCATGTCACATCCGGTTTAGGTGTAATACCACCAAAACATAGCGCGTCACATCCGGTTTAGGTGTAATACCACCAAAACATAGTACGTCACATCCGGTTTAGGTGTAATACCACCAAAACATAGCACGTCACATCCAGAATCATTCTAAACAGGGTCGAAATAATATTCCGTGAATTTGACATTTGTAGGAAATTTACCCTGCATTTCGATATTCAAAGCAGAAAATTTTTCTAAGTCATATAACATATATCTTGAGTGTTTCAAAGCACTATTCGTTTTTTATTTGGTGTTTCGATAAAAATTTTGGAAACTTGAAGTGATCTGGTTACTAAAGCTTGTAAACAAAAAAAGGTGAACATTTTATTGCTTTACTTCTGGTGATGGTTATAAATTTTCTTATATGCAATGAAATGTTGTGTGAATATCTAACTGTGTACTGGACAGGATAAAACTAATTATGCAAAGCATTTCTTTATTTGAAACAAAGATAAATTCTGCAGTTTAAAACAAAAATGCCAATTTAACAAAGACTTATAGGGGAAACAATGGTGGTATCCTATAAGGGATCGTAAGTCATGATTTGCGTTGAATACTATTAAATTATGCACGGAAAGGTTCATATGTAGAAGAGAAAGGTACTACACACTATTACATGACTTTTACAAACGACTTAAACAATCCAAGAAATGATAAGAATGTCTTCATTAGGAGAAAAGTGTCTCTTCATTAGGAGAAAATTGTCTCTTCATTAGAAGAAAAGCGTCTCTTCTTTTGGAGAAAAGTGTCCCTTCATTAGGAGAACAGTGTCTCTTCATTAGGAGAAAAGTGTCTCTTCATTATGAGAAAAGTGTCTCTTCATTAGGAGAAAAGTATCTTTACGTGTTTGGTGTAGAGATAATACAGCTGAGAGGTTCTTTTACTTATTTTTCTATTCGCTACTTTTCATGTTGTATTTGCTGTTTTACTATTTAAATCCCCCAAAAATAATAATGAACATAGCAGTATGAAAATGTTTAAAATTAAAATTAAATTGAAAGTCCTATGTAACAGGACTAGTATGACATGTATTATGTTAAAATCTGAGTTTATGGTAGCTTACCGTGAAGTTGTGTCCGTGCACACTTGCAACTAAGTTTGTTTGTTCATAATGATGGGATTTTTTTTTAAATGTATGCTAAATTATGATTTAATCTAGGTTCCGTGGTTCACTGATTAAAGAAATGTTTTCATGTTGGCTGTTTTACGTCCAGTGGGGAATATTTATGAATACACGCATTCACATTTAAAATGAAATCAAACAGTTGAGTCTGTTTTCATATTTTCTTATAGTATTCCACATTTCTAATGAATTGGTGTCATTTTTTAAAATATTCAAATAAAATAAACTGCATGGCTTATTATATAAACTACTTATCACAGGTTCAAAATAAAATTTCGGCATAAACATATTTATCTTTAAGAGCAAAGATAAAAATCCACTTCCATAAACATCCTCTAACCACAAATAAGGCACATTCTTTGATGCTCTGTACATTTTTCTTACAACGTCAATTGACATTATAGAACTGTGTCCAGCACAATATGGGAGAAACTTTGTGAATGGATATTCTTCCGGTGTTATAAACCATTTATTGTTCCTGTTACGAACTGGAATATTTTCCGTTATTGTTTTACATTCCAGAACATTCGATGTTTGTCCAGCTTTTAACTTCTCTGCCAAGTAGGGTACTATGAGTGGGATATTGATTATGATATCATCGTCCATCTTGATGACGTATTTCGCATGGTTGCAGAAATTGTTCACCCAAAACAAACTAAACACAAGTTTGTATGTTAAATTTCTGTATGAATCTATGAAATTACCCTGAATAATGTCCATGTATCTTTTACTTTCATGTTCGATTTCTTGTTGAAGTGTTACATTTTCGGTTTTCCCTAGCACAAATACATGTTCAATGCGTTTACTGTGAAAACTAAAAACAGTTCCAAATGTGGATCTTATCAAGTTTCGTCCAGCAAAATTGCCCGGTGCCATATGTACAAAAACTAAAAGAAAAACATTTTTCCCTTTGCATTTCAAATGTTGATTTATTAATAGTTTGTAGCGATGTTGATGAATAAATGGGTCCATAAGTTCACCAGCGGAAGCATTGATATAATAGCTCTCAAACTGCGTCGATATGTTTCTTCCATGAAATAATTGTATTTTCTGCGTATTGTGTTGTGTTTTCTTCGAAGCGTATACCATTGTCTCCGTAACATATTTTATTTTCTCCGACACGAATTGTAATTTCTCCGTAGCGTACTGTAAACTTTCGCCAAAGCTGTTGTACACTGTTTGATGGTACGTTGAAAAAGAAATTATCACTGTCTTATTAAGAAATAATAATGTAAATAACCAAAAAACTAACAGAGATACTCTCTGTACGAACTTCATATTTTTTATCCAATGAACTCACTAATTCATTCCTTCACTTGTGATGGTTGTTTTCGGCGTCAAACCCGTCTTTTTATTTTCAGTGAATCTAGTTTTTGTTTACGTCCATCTAGTTTCTATATCTTCATTGTCACTAGCTCTTTAATAATTTAATTTCTATGTTGATCCAATTATTTAATTTTGTTTTATTTCCATTGAAATGGTATGTCCATTTGGTCAACGTAGATTTAATAAAAATTGAATATGAATGTACGGTCATCTAAATCAGCTGTTTAAAAGTCGTGTCAATTACTTTATGAATATATATTGCATAATACAAAGATCTGATGAATTGGCCAATAACTATCCCAAGCAATAAAAGGTTTTATATCTGGAATACTTGAAAATATTTGTATGTTTATTTTTACGATTAATTAATCCCTGTCATTCCGCCTACTCGGTGACCGTGTGGTCTAAGTAGTCGAGCTACTGTATCACTAGCCTGCAACACTGAGGCTATAGATTTGTAATACAATAGTTATAGAAAAAAGAAAGTTCACAATTTCCCAAAAAAACAACAGTCTTGCGTCAAAAAGCTTATTCATCGAAATACTAAACTATATCAGTTCAAAAAAAAAAGAAAAATATCTTTCTAAAGGTCAAAACGTAATAATCCTATTTAACTTATTCTACATTTTATTTATATATATCACACTTTAACAGCATTTTTGCTGTATAATGTATCATGTTTGTGCGTATATTGTGTATGTATCTATTTCATCATTGTTGCTTGTAAATGTCCCATGATGGACCTTGATTGGAAAAATAAATATTTAAACTTTAATTTGAATTTGAATTTGAATTTGAAATTAAGAACACTATGTGAAAGCATCTTCGCACAGATTAAGGTACGTGCATCAGAAAATGGAAGACTTTTATTTCAGATGTTAGTTACAAGACGACTTTCAGATAAATCATTTGTTTACTTATTGGTCAATGTTCCAATATTTACAATTCAGAGTTTTCGGCAAAGTGGAAAAAATGTCTTATTTCAACATTTTTAACAATTCACTAAGTGAAAATGCAGGGGCAGATCCATTTTAAGGGGAGGGGGAGGGGGCTTCCAACCATACATGTATGTCCCCATTCAAAAGCATTGATAGTCAAAAAAGGTGGGTTCCAACCCCCAAACCCCCTTCCCCTGGATCTAAATGATATATAATAATATGACCAGATTTAAATGTCATAGTTTGGCTTTAAATTACAATTTTGATAGATTTTGAATATTTATTAAACTCTAAATAAAATTTAAATATGACATTATGAACAAAATCTAAATTCCCTCGGAAGTTAAGCTAACTATTGTAAAAGATTGTTAAATATATATGAAATATATGCTGTGAAAACATAACAAGTTGACAGGTTGACATGTATAGTTGACACAAATTAAATACGGAACGGAAAGTTTAAATTGAAACATAACAAACAGTTACCGGAAACACGATTTGTTAACAATTATTGTCAAAATCATACTCGAGGGTCTGGAGGGGGGGGGGGTTGCTTTATTTCTGTACTCTTTAATTTTTAGGCCATTTATCTCCATTCTGTATACTTTTTGTCCATTATTCTATATTCTTTATATTTTAGCACCTCATTATTCTCTATTCAATATTCATTATTCAATATAGTAGGAAGCCGTATTCACTGTAAGGCTTTACAGGTACAACTCAGAAATAAACTTTAATTATTTAAAAAACAACAACACATCTTGACCTGAATTTAAAAGTGGATAAACAAAAAAAAAAAACTTAACAAGCAAACCAAATTTAACCAACAATTTAAAAAAAAATGTTGATATTTTGTCAAAATTATAACATTTCTGTATATATTTGAAATTGTCAAATTCAATGCATTTCCCTTGAAAATCTATAAGATATTTCCACAAAATTGTACACTTTATAAATTTCATAATACATATTTTTGCATGATTTCCCTTAATTTAATAGTAGAATTCAGTATTCTTTATAAAACTTTACAGGTGAAATGCATGTGAAAAATGACAGCAGGTCAAAAATAAACTATGATTGTTAAAACAATTGTAAAAAAACCTGCAAATATGTATCTTTTCCTGTATAGATTGTTCGATCTGTCAACGTATATTTGTTCCACTGGAAACTTTGTTATAAACTATACCATTTTTGTCTATAACCTTTATTCCGTAAGAAATAAATACTATAATATTACAGAATATTTTTTCCACTTGGAACTTATATTATGATGGAACTTCTATTTCGTGACAGATTAACCGACAACGACATTTAACAGGTTAAATTACCCTTTCAATATTCTCTACTCACAAAACCTTTACAATAATAAGCTTTAAACACTTCATTGTTATAACTTTAATATATATTCAACCTGAAATAAAAACATTTATTATTGTATACCATCACTGTCAGACTGCCATTGATTGCCCCATCATATTGGTTTAACCATTTTAAAAATTTAACCGAACCAAAAGATAAATTCAAAGAACTACTACAGATTTTAGAGCAAAACTGAATATTCTTGAAAAAAGTAAATGTTTTAATGAACTTGACTGTATGATCTCTGAAACTGAAATATCTACTGCTTTGTCATCTATAAAGGTTGATAAAGCAGCAGGCTTTGATAATTTCTCCAATACATGTACTGTTAAGGTTGATAAAGCAGCAGGCTTAGATAATATCTCCACTACATGTACTGTTAAGGTTGATAAAGCAGCAGGCTTAGATAATATCTCCACTACATGTACTGTTAAGGTTGATAAAGCAGCAGGCTTAGATAATATCTCCACTACATGTACTGTTAAGGTTGATAAAGCAGCAGGCTTAGATAATATCTCCACTACATGTACTGTTAAGGTTGATAAATCAGCAGGCTTAGATAATATCTCCACTACATGTACTGTTAAGGTTGATAAAGCAGCAGGCTTAGATAATATCTTCACTACATGTACTGTTAAGGTTGATAAATCAGCAGGCTTAGATAATATCTCCACTACATGTACTGTTAAGGTTGATAAAGCAGCAGGCTTAGATAATATCTCCACTACATGTACTGTTAAGGTTGATAAAGCAGCAGGCTTAGATAATATCTCCACTACATGTACTGTTAAGGTTGATAAATCAGCAGGCTTAGATAATATCTCCAGTACATGCACTGTTAAGGTTGATAAATCAGCAGGCTTAGATAATATCTCCACTACATGTACTGTTAAGGTTTATAAAGCAGCAGGCTTAGATAATATCTCCCATACATGTACTACGTTAAAATATGGACAAACCTCTTTCGCGTATTTCGTCACATAGACTTAGAATTGAACAAGGTTGATATCATGATATTTCTCGACAAAACCGAGTATGTCTCAGGTGCACCTCAAATGAAATTGATGAAAAACATTTTTTTTTATTTTCATGCACATCATCTATAACTAGGAGAAACCACATGTAATCAAAGATTAACTCGCTCTGTCCTAACTTTAAGTACTTGATTCCTAGCCAGAAACTGATCTGACTACTTCATGTAGAGAATGTTGATATATTAATATCTGTTTGTGATCTGATTGATGAAGGCAAAATATAGATCTAGCTTCTTTGCACTAGGCACGAGGATTGCATAGTGGTTACTTAGAATCACCAATGATAATAATGTTGCTTTAAGTATTTATTTTATCAATGACGATTAGAATTATTCTCATATATATATCATACACAGGCACTTGTCTCTGAAAAAAAATCCTATACACCTTTGATATATTAAGGTATATAGGCTTTTTGTTCAGAGGCAAGTGCCTGTGATATCTTATATAAGAATTTTTCTATTTGTTACTATGTATACTTAGGTATGTCATTTAGCATCGTCCCTTGGTGCCTCTTGCAGTTGGACATCATACAATATGTATCAACCCATCTGCATCAGGCACGAAGATGACATGCCATGTTTGTTCATTGGTCATAATCTTTTAACCAAATTGTCTATTTATATGCATGCATACCAGGTACATCTGTCTCCCACCTTGTCCCTTGGTAGCTTTTGGAGTTAAGTTACGTATCCAATAAATTGCCAATTTATTAAAACACTTTATCATGTTGGGGTGTTCTTGAGAAGGAGGTATGTGTGTGTAGTTCATTCATGTTCAAACTGCTTTTTACTTTTCTTTGTATGTATACTGCATAACTGTTTTATGTTGTTGTTTATTTAGTAGTCATATTGTAATATGCTCTTTGTGAGCCCATTTAATGGAAAAAAAAACATCTTCTATACCAAAATACTACAAAATATTTTAACTATTTGATATTCTGTAGTTAAAATTGTATAAATTTCAAATAGTTACTTAGAGTCTTAATTTGATAAAACTTGTAATGATATGGAAAATATTCGATTTTTTTAAAATTTGCAATTTATTCCTATCTATGTTTTCCATTTATAACTTAGAAACTACAAATAGGAATAACAATTTGCAATCATTCTGATTTTCCACGTTTACCCACATAACCCGAACAAACCTTTCTGACTACAATTGTGAGGGTCTGGATGAACGAACAAATCTTTCTGACTACAATTGTGAGGGTCTGGAT